TGAGGGGCGACAGTTATTACTAATCTTACATCTGCAATCCCTTATTTAGGAAATATATTAGTTCAATGAATTTGAGGAAGTTTTGCAGTAGATAATGCAACATTAAACCCATTTTTTACATTTAATTTTATTTTACTATTTATTATTCTTTTATTTACTTATTTTTTCTTCATCAAATAGGCTCAAGAAATCCAATTGGAACAAATAGAGATATTGATAAGATTCTTTTTTATTCTTATTTTGTTTATAAAGACATTTTAGGAGGATTAATTTTAATATTTTTATTAACTTTCTTGCCTAGAAGAAAAAATGTAGGTAATTTTTTTTACTATATTCAAAGGCTAAAAACTGGTTTTAAATCACATTATTGCTAAACTGATTCTGATTAATGAGCACTTGCAAGGCAATATGGCCGCTCGCAAAACGAGCAGCTTTGAGTAATCCGTACAACTATATATGCATCATTGCCCTGTCGATAACAGCAAGCCACAGGTTTGCCATATCTAAACTTTCAGTCTCCTCTTGTTAGCATTTTGACAGGTCGTTGAAATGTCTAATATATTTTACACGTCAAATGGAAGAATACTCTGAAAAAAGAGAGTAGATTTTGTTTTGAGTGTACTAGAGTATCAGATTATCAGAGAATGTACTAGATCTAGTACAATTGTACTAGACTGGCAACACTGCACAAATACCGGTATGTTACTAATTTCACCGAATTTCGCACTTTCGCGCATGACGTAACGTGGCATAAAGCAAACAGAATTTGATTGACGTTTGAATAATAATTATTTATTAACACAGTTTTATTTCTAATTATAATAATATAATGATACGAAATATTAATAATAATAATAATACGCGTTCATTTTTGGAATGTTAAATAAGAGTTAAGGTGAATACAGCACACCTTATAATTTTCGGACAACCATATTTAAAATTGTGACAAAATAAATTAGGCATTAATATCTAGAATATGCATATATTTTTAAGTTTTAATTTCTTTCAATTTCCGAGAAAAAATCAAAGGGCTTTAAATTATGAAATATCATAATGAAAATAAATGCATTTCTCAACAGCACTATTCCTAATATAATCTCCAAATTTAAACTTTTAATGTCTTGTTAATGATTTTTTTTTAATTCTTCAAAATTAGTGACTAAAACGCCTCGTTAAGTGCTATCTTCTGGTAAAACGCGCATGTAACTAACGTATTGTAAACTCTCAGTCATCATTCGTTTCTTGCAACAATTTACACTAGTTTACATTTTAATGAACATATATTTAATCCCAATAACTAAAAAATATACTGACAATTAGTTTGACAGAATTTTCACTTATTTAAAATTTTAAAAATAATAGTAATTGGGTGTCCAAAATATAAACTGTGATTGGTAGATTTAATTTTTTTTATTCTCACTACCTAGAATGGATATGAAATATATTCATTTAATTAAACACAATACCATACTTTTTCGTTTTATAGTCTGTGCATAGATAAGCCAATATCCATCTGGATGAAGAAAAATAGTATTTCAATGTCTCTCGATAATAGTATAATACTCGGATATACTACTAAAAATGTTTTTTATTTCCCTCTACTTCGTTGAGATAAACCGATATAGACGAACTGGACTATCACACGACAAATAATTCAAAGAGTGTTAGCTACAGGTATAACGTAGGAATAGGTCAGTGTCGTCGCGTTCTTACATGTGTTTATTATTTATTTCCATATTGGTTAGGTTATTTTATCATTTACTAACCATTAGAAAAAAAATTGTCTAAAAAATACTCAACAAAAAATTGATTTCTACGTTCAATTGTATTTATAAATAAATGTAATTATTCTTCAAAGCGGAAAAAATAATAAAACCCAAAAATTTTAATAACGAAGAACAATATATAAGTATGTTGTTTTGTGCATACCGATATTCCAGATTAAAATTGGATTTAAATACTAATTGACAGATATTATTTATTGACATATTCTACTAATGTAATACAGTTTTTTTGACAAATAAAATGCAGTCTCTAGAATTATTAGGGAAAAATAACATTTTAGGGTCTATTTATATTCCCTTATTATTAGTATTTGCATTAGTATTATTATTAAGGATTAAGTTAAAGCTTCACAATGTAATGGGGACATTTATATCCGATTTATGATTAGTATTAGCATTAATATTTATGATTAATAATTGACAGGTTTAACTTTTATGCTAAATATCACATACTTTGATTACTATACGAGGCAAGAGAGAGGTCCGACACGCCTAACATAGAGCGCGGCCATTTTGAACCCTGTGACACAGTTTACAGCTAAAGAATCAGATCGCTCACTCTGCGTCGGCACTTTTGATCTCAATGTTTCAGTTTATGCACGGTGTAACTCGGATAATACAATATATGACAACCGCCTATAATAAAACAGCAGTCTTCTGCGTATCCTGAATTTGTATCCCTGGAGTGGATGTTATTTTGGAACTTTCAACTGGTCCGAGTGAGCTAACTGATTCTTTAGCAATAAACTGTGACTCCAAAAATAATATTCACTGATACTGACAGCAGCAAGCAAAATATCAGGTGCGTTTTAATCATCCGCTTCTGCTTCCGGAATTGTCGGTTTAGTCGTTTTAACCTGTCAGATTAAAACAAGAAAACCGACAATTCCGAAGCAGAAGCGGATGATTAAAACGCACCTATTAAAAATATTGCGCCAAGATGTAGGCAACACGTAATAAGGGTTCAAAATGGCGGAGTTTTCTATCTCCTTTTAAAAGGCACTCAGAAAGTTGCGCAGTGCGACCATTCTCCGTATAGTAAAAGAAAATCAAAGTATGTGCTAAATATTAATCAATGACGTATTTGCCCTTTATTTTTAATAGACAACGGATAATGACAATTGACAATACACATATGATTATTTTGTCAGATGTTGTTTATAGGTTTGCTCCAACAAGCCCAAAAACGATAATAATTCGGTACAAATCATGCGCTGTATACAATTTTTGTGTATCAGCAATGTTTACGGAGTATAAAGTTGACAAATGACATGTCACCACGGGGAAGCAAAGGCCTCTTTTCCCTCTGATTTATCTCAAATTTCTGCTTCTTTTTATCTGTTATAAATTTTAGACGTAAATCTGTTAAAAGTCCTTAATCTAACCTATTTTTAGATAATATTTTTAAATAAAATTAACTGGTAAAAACATTAATAAATCACGTTTAAAACTGAAACATCTTAAAAAATATTCTAACAATACAACTGGCCTCTTACACATTTCTTCAGTAACCAACATTTTGTTGACTGCGGAATTAATTATATATTATTAGGAAAAAGATTATCAAAGAAGAAGCATTAATTCTAATTATAAAACGAGTATAAATATCCTTTTTGAATATTTAGTTCATTTTAATGCTTAATCATATTACTAATACAAATACTAATATTAAGGGAGTATAATTAGACCCTTAATGAGTGCAATCCTAATTTTTTCGTTATGATGGTTTAAAATTCGGTCGTGCATTGCTGGTGTTGGAGTGAATAAGTAAATGGCGCTTTTGGGTGCAAGAGCGGAATCGTAAGAATGTTGCTATTTATAGGACTATAGCGTGCTACAGATCGCTGATTCGACCTATGACTGCAAAACTGATACTGTGTTGTATCTTTTTTTTTGTATCTGCGAGCTCCAATTAATATCCACTCCCTCACAGGCAAAATAGTGTCGAAAGTTTGATCTTGCTAGAAGGTAGGCATAGTTGAGTTTACGAGTTATGGTGCAAATATCCTTCTGCTGATCGATTAGTAAAAGGATATAAATGGGACTCTAAAAATCAATTAACATTATGTAATTATGTTTAGCTTAAACTAAACAAAGACTATAGATAATAAAGTCAAAGTAGAGATAAATTTTGTAACGGTATATTTATAATACCTTTATTTTTCTTCTACTTCTGGAGTCCTACCTCTAATCTAATCTTTTGTCATCGAATATCATTTGTGACATGGTCATTAAATTGAATTTCCAAGTCATCTTTCGGTAGTTACTTTTTTTTTTTTGATTATCAAAAGCCATCAATATAGTATGGTAAGCATTGGTATTAATGTTTTTTAATTTCAAGCAATGATTATACGAGATGTATTTGTATACACGTTTTAGTTAACCAAAATTATAATTTATGTAAAATCTTCTTTCTCTTAATAATTGAAACGTTTCATCTCATTCCTATATATTCTATTTTTTCTTCAACAGGTTGGAATCTATTTTTAATTATAGAAAATCTGGATGGTGTAAATAATATCTTATTTTGGAGATGGGAAGCAGAACAGATGATTGATAGTGGCCAATTAGTTAAGTTTACTGAGGAAAACCCGGAAAATCCCACCTACCATATGATAAAGTTAAAGAATAGTATATTACACACCGAGGTGGGAAGTTTCATTCCTGTCGTGGGATTAGTTAGATCACCGAGACGCGAAGCGTCGTTAGCTATGATCTCGAGACAGGAATGAAACTTCCTACCGAGGTTTGTATACTATTTTATTTACAACCATCATATTTCGATCAAAGTTAATAAATCTCTGTTTTGTTCTGAACATACCTGAAATATTACATTTAACGACAAATTACCAAGCGCGCGGTTTTCTCAAAATAATCAAGTAGGTAAATATATTGTTACTGTAATTACGGGGTAAACAACTGTCACCAATATAAATAAATGTCAGAAAAAGCCTTATATTAAATTGGCGAATAATAAATATCAATAAGTAGTTTGTTATATTTTGGATCATTGTTGTTTTTTATTGTTTGCCATTAAATAGGTATTATAAAATTTGTCAAACAATGTGTTTTTTTTTTAAATATAAAAAATATTCATCTAGAATAGATGAAATGAGGGCGGGAAGTAGAGGTGTGTAATGTGACACTTCCCAACCTTCAATGAGGTTAGTAATGACAACATTACATATATGGTTGTAAATAAAAATAATTACTTACTGCAATCTACTAGATCCATGTATATACATGTTAATGTAGCCGGATCAAAATACAAATTTTCGGGACACGTTTTTAAGGTCTTTTCTCCATTACGGCAATGGTAGAATTTACTGCAATCGTAAGGGTAATACACATCTTTGGTTCCAGTAGGCGGACATATTGGATCGGGCGTGGGAATAGCTAAAAACATATGTAATAAACAAATTTAAATATTAATTTATTGCAAATATTATTATATACAAAAAAGGAATTTTTAGAATGAAATATATAGTAAATTGCTGTTTTACTATAAGTTCAACAATTTTGAATATCTCTATTACTGCATTTTTTTGTAAATTATAGGCGAAGAAAACAAAAGTATATATAGGGTGTCCCAAATTGTTTTACCCAGGCTATAACTTCTAAACCATGCAAGATAATCGAACCGGACAAAAGTCATCCATTATAATTGGCGGTATACTTTAAAATAAATTAAAATTTGACTATCCACTCTAAAAAACTACCCCCCTGGAACAACCCCCTCAAAAATTATTAACGACACCCTAATTTTTTTTCTGCTTATTTTTGTAGTCGATACTTTTCTCTGTATAACTGTTTTTAAAATTTTAAAATCGCTTTATAAATAAGTGAGAAATTAAATAAAACTCTATGTCAAGTTGATGATAAAAAATACTTTATTAGGTGACACATAATTAAAAAAATAATTTGAAACAAGAGAAGGAGAAGACAAGAAATAAATATCAACAAACAAAGAGTAGTAATAACTTATAATAAGTGCTCAAATTGCCCACCTCCCACTTCCATACATTTGTCAAACCTTAACAATAAATTTCTAGTACAGGCAGCTCGAATCATGCCCGGTGTAAATCTGTTACAAGCATGTCTGATTCTATTTTTTAAATCTTCTAAGTCCTCTGGTTTTGTTTCGTATACTACGTCCTTTATAGTACCCCAGAAAAAAAATCTAGAGGCGACAAATCAGGTGACCTAGCAGGCCACTGGATAATTGGAGAATGCGTGGATATAACACGGTTTCCATAAGTGTTTGCCAAATATTGGCTCATAATTTGTGCATTATAAGCTGGTGCACCATCTTGCTGCCACCGCATATCACGTCTTTGATTAAGAGGAACACCTTCCAACAACTCAAGAACGGTATTGATTAAAAAATCACGATATCCTATTCCCGTTAGAGTGTTTTCATAAAAATGAGGACCTATAATCCTACCATTAAACAAACTACACCAAATATTTTGAAACCTTGTTTCTCTTACCCAGTGGGGATTTGTTGGGGACCAGTAATTGGAATAATGACAATTTAATACACCATTATTATGGAAACGTGATTCGTCGCTTCATAATATTTTATCTAAGAATGTGGCATCGTCATTTAGTTTCACCTGCATTCTAGCGAGAAAGTCTAGGCGTCTTTCAAGATCATTAGGGAGTAAACCTTGGACAAAGTGTATTTTATAAGGATGATATTTATTGTCTTTTAATATTCTTTGGATGCTACTTTTGCTTATTCCAATTTCGAGTGCCAAATCTCTGATAGAAACATGTGGATTTGCATGAACGTAAGCCAAAACGTGTATAATATTTTCTTCATTTCTGATCATTCTGTTGTGTCCTCCATGATGTTTACCGTCAGGAAAATGTCCTTGCCTAAGACTTCTTTCAAAATTGGAAAACGTTCTAACTGAGGGAATTGCTCTATTCGGAAAATGTTCATAGTATAATTGTCACATTCGCCGTAAATAATTATCATATCGGTGTACTCGTTGGAACTAAACAGATTAGGCATTTTGAAATAATTTGTTAGGACTTGACAAACTCTAAATTATTGCAAACTTTATTAAGTAAAAACTGCTAACTTTATCGAGTTCTGTTTGACAAGAGACAGATTGATATAGTATTGTTTATAATGCGCTAAGAAACTTACCTCGAATTTGACAGCAAGCAACTTGATGAAAATGAAAAAAATAACGAATCTCAGTTATTTATGGAGCGATTTCAAAATTTTAAAAACAGTTATACTGAGAAAAGTAGCGACTACAAAAACGAGTAAAAAAAAAATTAGTGTCGTTAATAATATTTGAGGGGGTTGTTCCAGTGGGGTAGTTTTTGAGGGTGGGTCATCAAATCTTTATTTGTTTTAAAGTACACCGCTAACTAAAATGGATGACTTTTGTCCGGTTCAATTATCTTGCATGGTTTAGAAGTTACAGCATGGGTAAAACAATTTGGGACACCCTGTATACAGAGATATGTATTTTTTTGTATCAAAATTACGACTATTTATACTACTTCATCATCTAATACAACTAGTTGAGTAAGATAATATAAGTGGTGAACTATTAAAAAAAAAATATGTTTATGGAAAAAAATTATTGACAAAATTACTGATATCACTGCATCAAATTATTTTTAAATAAGTACTAAAACAAAGTTAACTAAATTACTTATACAGGGTGATGCATCGAAAACGAAACAGAGGCATTTACTGGCAGCTCAGTCTTTTTTTTGGAAAAACGCTCAGACCCGTCGATTTTGTTTTCTAGGGGCACAAGATTGCCAAAAAATCACGTTCACACGTGCAGCCCCCTAAGCAGGGGTATTACCATCCCTAAAATCTTAAATGGAAAGGCGGGTCGAATGATTCATTGTTTGAAAGGTATTCCCTTTATAATGATGTAAAATGTATGTATTTAGTTCAGTAGTTTTGGAGATTTAATGATTTAAAGCTTAAAGTAGACTTTAATAGGTACATCAAATTAGTTTGTACTACTTTTCCCCCTTTCCCCAATTCCCCCCTTTCCCCCATTTCTCCCTTTTCTCCTTTCCCCCGTTTCTTATTCCCCTGTTTTCTCATTTTCCTCTTTCCCCCATTTCCCCCCGTTCCCCAGTTTCCCCATTTTTTCAATTCTCCTCATTTCCTCCTTCTTCTTCCTTTTCCCCCTTTTCCCCATTTCCCCTCCTTTCCCCATTTCCCCCTTTTCCTCATTTCCTTCCTTTCCCCCATTTTCCCAATTGTCCCTCTTCTCCCCCTTTCCCCCTTTTCCCATTTCTCTCCATTTTCCCCCATTTCCCCAATTTTCCCCATCCCCCAAACTGTTATTAAATATTAAAAAAAAATTAATAATTAAATAAAATAGTTTTTACTTACTTGGTGGTGTTGTAGTCGCAACTAAAAAAAAATCAACTATTATTAACCTGTTTGTTATATTATCTAAGATATTAAACTAAAAAAAAAAGACATTCTTGAAACCAATTTTTTTTGCCTTGCAATGGGTGTACTGTAAATGATTTTTGCATATTTTATTGCTACCTCACCTTTGGCAAGACAAAAATCTTTACTGACTAACCTATAAAGTTTAATAAAAATATAGAAAAATTAAATTGCAAGATATAGGTAGGAAATAAATAAATATATTAGTAAAATGTTTTTGAAATTTTAAAACTACTGTAGTATGAGCCCTAACCACTATATGTTCGGTCTTGTTATAATTTTATTTCCGTTATACAGGGTGTTAAAAAAAAAGTGTCACAAAATAAAACGGGGGGTAGTATGGGCCAAAATATGCAGAAAAGTATTAATAAACATATGTCCGCAAATGAATGGTTTCAGAGATACGGAGTGTTTTGTGTTTTGTATCATTTTTTGATTATCTTTTTTCATTCTCAAAAACTTGCTTTTCTTATCGGAGTCTACCGATGTTTTTTCATAGATACTATTTGCAGTTATTATTTTGTTGTGGGTGAATAATTTTATAAATTTTCGTTATGCCTGTTTACACTAATATTGAATTAGCTGACATGCATTTTATGTACGGTCGTGCAAATGACAATGCGAGGAAAGCGCTACGTCAGTATATCGACGCTTTCCCTAATCGCCACATCCCTTCAGTTCGTGTGTTTGGTAGATTGCACCAAAGATTGCGTGATACAGGTAAATTTGGGAAACAGTCACATGATTCCGGGAGACCAAGGTCGGTGTCCACCCCTGAGGCAGAAGAAGCAATTTTAGCACGAGTAGAAGAGAATCCAGAAACTAGTGTGCGAAGAATATCAGCGGAGGTAGGAATTGGGGCTCCTCTGGTTTGGAGAATCCTCCACGAGCAGCAGCTTTACCCGTACCATCTTCAACGAGTGCAAGCTCTGAATGCACCTGATTATCAAGCACGTTTGGAGTTTTGTCGATGGTTTCTGAGAAATGATGCTGAGGATCCCAATTTTATTGCACTAATTCTTTTTACTGATGAGGCAGGGTTTACATGAAATGGAGTTTTTAATTTCCATAATTTGCATATGTGGGCCGACGAAAATCCCCATAGTATCGTGGAATCCAGGCATCAAGTTCGTTTTTCATTAAACATTTGGATGGGTATTTATGGCGACTGGTTACTAGGTTCGATTGTACTACCTAACCGATTAACGGGAGCTGACTACTTAAACTTTTTGCAGAACACATTGGGTGATCTTTTAGAAGACATTCCTTTAATACAAATAAATCAAATGTGGTTCCAGCACGATGGTGCTCCGGCGCATTTTTCAGTTGCCGTAAGAGAACATTTAGACGGATCCTTTGGTCGAAGATGGATAGGAAGGGGCGGACCTGTGCCATGGCCTGCAAGATCGCCTGATTTAAATCCGCTTGACTTTTTTCTTTGGGGACACTTAAAAAATTTAGTGTACGCCACTCCTGTGAATAACCTCGAAGAGCTGCAGCAACGAATAGAGCAGGGATGTCATCGAATCCTAGCCAATGAGGGTGTTGCAATATTCCTTTGCCCCGTTAGGCTACAATTTGCAGTATTATTTGTTACCTTTTTGATAAATGTTAATTTTAAAACACTTATAGAGATTTTTACTAGCTCAGTGAAATTTAATATCAAACGTTACTTACCTTTAAAAATGAAAAAAAAAAAAAAATAAATGAGCACATCCTTTTCTCTGTCGTGAATTCGGCTTTTCAAATAGACAATTTTAAGGGTAATAATCTTTCTAGGAAATGTTGGGCACCAATAATTCTCTTTTTTATTTTTAAAAGCTAGTGAGAATTATAAATTCTAGCTTTATCAATAAAAAGAAGTTAATAAAAATTATACAGAATTTAGTGAATGAAAGAGAATTCTTTGTGACCATTAAAAAATAAGATTCAAAATATATACTTATAAAAATCAACGATTTTATTTAAAAAAAGAAACCTTTTCGAAAACAAATTATTCACAGTTATCAGAAATCATTAAAATTGTGATTCGTACATAAATAATTTTAGTCACTAGTAATTACCAATTGTTTTATTGCTAGTCACTTGTAGATAACCATACGTAGTTTTTGTCCCTCGGAAACCAACGCCATTGTCTGTTAATCTTCCTTCTATGAAGCTTTGAATTGTAGCTGTCGCCTTTCCAAATCAAACAACTTTTCACTAGATATCTCTGCTCCTCGGGAACCAACGTTCAGATTACAGCGGTAGAATGGTTTTACGGCTTTATAACGTTCGGCTTATGACGTTATGGCTTATGGATTTATGTGGCTCATGGATTATGTTTTATGGATCATGGATTATGGCTTATTGCTTATGGCTGATTCCATTCGCTTGCACTTTATCAGCCCAAATGCACCACCGATTTAATTGAAAGGTAATAATGAAAAAAAATTTACAAATCTGACTTGAGATCGCTTGGCTAGTGGCACTCCCACTTCAAGAAATTTCCCTTTCTTTAGAATATTTTGTGTTGGCGATAATTAAATTATACCGGATGGCACACATTTAAAATAACATTTTATAATTCGACTTTTAAAATGTTACAGTGTTTTGGAAAGAGTCCGACAGTCCTTTCGGAGGAGATGTCGTAGCTGCATTGAAATGGAGGGAGGGCACTTTGAACATCACATTTAACTCTATGTTGTTATTGATTGTTTATAAATATCATTGTTTTTTTATAATATTAAAAAATTGTTATAAACACAAAATGGTCCGTATCTCCGAAACCGTTAATTTACGGTCATATATTTATTAAGACTTTTCTGCTTATTTTGGTTCATACTATTCACCGTTTCATTTTGTGACACTTTTTTTTTAACATCCTGTATATTAGGAAACTTAACGTTGAAGAAGAATATCTATTATTTAAAAATTACTTAAATTTAATAGTTGTTGATGTTTCTACTATTTGTGAGAGCATGACGCACCATGATCTTAATTTTTTTTAAAAACATTATCTAATCGAAAGATAAATGACCATTTAAATGTTCGAACACCATCCTCCGCAATTATTAAATTTAATGTTTAGGAGGCTTTGGAATTTTTGAAGTTTAGAATTTTTTACGTGTTTGACGTACATAATAAACACTAACTTATTTTGTGGTTTGATGTTTTAAGTTGTTGAAAGTGTGAGGGTATCTTTGTGACAGTTTCTAACGTAACTGTTTTTATTCGTTATTGAAAACGGGTCGCGGTAAAGCAAATCCAAAAAAAAAAATTAGGGATATTTCATCATAAACAAATATAATCATAAACATAAGTTATCTAATAAATATCTGAAATAAAATTATGAAAAAGCCGAACATATAGTGGTTAGGGCTCGTATAATTATTATAGTAATGATTAATACATTACTTACCGCAACCAACATATTCGTTATAATCACAAATATTATTAATCTGATCCCAAACAAGTACACCAGGACAGGATACTAAAAATTTTGTTCCTCTGTTACATTCGAAATATTCACTGCAATTGGCTGGATTGGCAATGTAATATATTTTAGATGGATCTGTGCACTCTGAGTCGGAAATAATGTATCCTGAAAAATAATTAATAATTGAATTCCGATATATTAAAAAATTAAACTTATATGTCGATATTATTATTTAAAATGTTGTAAGCTGTACCAATGGCATTGAGTATTAGGGACAACCCGATTAGAGCAGATACGAGTACAAGTAGCGACCGTTGTCAAAAGGTGGTCATCCGACATAAGAACAAAAATATATTCTATCAATGATTGAAAATAATAATATAATACTCTCCCTAATTCCCCCTTACATGTGAATCTCAACCCCTGAAGCCGACCAAGGTTGCGTGGGGAAGGGACAACTATTATTATTATTATTATTATTTGCTGTGGCGCTCCGGGTCGACTTAAAGATGACTGATGGTGCTATTTGACTTACAGGTTAGGAAAATCCGAAAAACCTTACCCACCATCATCAAAACGGTAACGCATAACGATTTGTAATCTGGATGCCATGTCAACATAAGTTAAATTACTACTAATACGGCACCCATCAAATCCTATAACGAACCATGAAAATTAATAAAAACTTCACATGGTCTGGTGTGGGATTCAAAGCCGCGTGTCTCTCAAGCACAAAAAGTAAATATAAGTGCGTAAGACATCTAGGCCACCGAGAAGATAAATATATGAGTTAAACAATAAACCGTTGGTCTGGTGATCTATAACTTGTACAATATTTTTATTAGAATATTATTTTTTTTGAAATTGATTTATAGTACTTTTAGTCAATAATTGGCGACGAAAAAATTATACAAAACAGTGGCCCTACGCACAGATTTCGGTTATCTCACCTAGATAGAACTGAATTAAAAAATATTTATTCACCTAATTTTTGTGAAAAATATGTGTACCTATCAAAATTTTTAAAGGTATATACAGAATGATTTCTCAGTTGATTTTTTTTTCAACTGTGTATACAAATACTGAAACTACTTCAACGTTTCGAGTAGTAAAATAAATGAATTTAATTCAAATATAGAAACTTGATTTTCATGACCCTCGCCCTAGCTCATATCAGGGGCGGTGAGTTCGAATTTAGAATTTACTAAAAAACCAATGGCATCATCTTTAATTAAAAAGACAATTGGATCTTTCGAGCTCACACAGTGGCATGACGAAATATTTTTTCCAGGAGGGTATAATTATTAAATGAAGGAAATATTGCGGAAATAAAACTGAAACGTTATTTATAGTTGATCAACAAAAGTTGAATACAACTTGAATCAACTGTTGTTCACACATTTCAATATAAACTGAATTATTAGTTTCAATGTAAAATTGCGTTGAATGTCTACAGATTGTTTAACTTTTGTTAACAGAAGAACTAAAAAAAATTGTTGATATGACCAACAGTCGTAAGAAACATTATTTTTGGGTGATATTCTGAGAAAACATAGATTGGAAGCATCAAAGGTATAGAAATCATTTACGAATGTTTGAAGATACATTCGAGGAACCTGCTCTCAAAAATTCAGAATCGCATAAAAAAACAAGAATCAATGATGAATCAAGCAATCTTATCAAGAATAAAATTGCAAACGTACTACACATTAGATTAGATTGGGAGTTAGACGTTATTTGTCCTTGCGACCTTCTCTTATCTATTGTGGGACTCCGTTTGTTTTAGAGTATGTCGTTTAGCTTGGTCTTTTTTATTAGACTTAGTAGCTTTGACAGTGGCTCTCGCATGAAGTTGCATGCATTTGGCTTTTCTTTGCCCAATGTTAGAAACCTCATTCCAGCCTCATCGGCACAGGACGTGGAATTATGTTTCCTCTTCTTCTTCACAGAACCTGCACAAAGTTGCTTCTTCTGCTGGATTGATGATACTCGTGTGCCTTTTAAGGCGACAGTGTCCGGTAAGAAGACCTACTGTTATCCTAACGATTTAACGCTTTTGATCCAGTAGGTCTTTCGATGGTTCCTTAATGAACTGTTTGGGCTGTCTCAGTCTTGGATAGTTGTTCCACCATTCCTGAGACTGTTTTTGCATCCATTGTTTGATGGATGCCTTGCACAATGCCTAAGCAAATTCACAAAAGGGTTCGGGGCCTGTCATGGCCTTCTCGGGCTAATTAGTCGGCCTTTTCGTTGCCCTGACATTCCTCATGGCCTGGCACCCAGGCTAGGGTCACGTTGTTTTGACTACTTAGCTCAGCCGGGTCTTCTAGACAGTCTTTCACCAGTCGTGATTTGATTTCTGATGAGAGAATTGCCTATAGAGCTGCTTGGCTATCAGAGTATATAGCAATAGTTTTGCCTGACACTTGTTGATTTAGTATTTCTCTTTCCCGGTGTTGTATGGCTATAAGTTTAGCCTGGAACACTGTTGCATATTTTCCCAGACTCAGCGAAATTGTTGTTTTCGACTTGAGTCCATAGATTCCAACATCGGCTCCCTTTCTTGGTTTCAACCTGTACGGGAGGTTCCTGTTTCCAGGATTCTCGGGCTGGTATTTAAATTAAAATTTTTTTTTTTAAATTTGTATGTGGTTATGGCTCTATCGGTAGGCATAGCTAGAATATTATCCTTTTTTACTTGCTGATATACCCTTGTGTGGTCGGCTCTATGTAGTTGGCTTATTGGGTTTTGTCCCTGCATTAGCCTGTGAATAACTGACCTGGTTTCTCCTTGTATGAAGATGTGCAGTAGCGTGAGATTTAATAATACCTCCATTGCTACAGTTGGCGTAGTGCGCATGGCCCTAGTAGCACTTAAACAGGCGAACCGCTGAATGACAGTGAGTTAGCCTATTACACTTAACTGCGCAGTTTTGGTAACCCACGCCACTGCACTATAGGTTATCATGGGTCTTATCACCCTTTTGTATAACCATATGGTCATTTTGGGGTTTAGACCCCAGTTTTTCCCACATATTCTTCTATAGCTTACGAGAGCTATTGTAGCTTTGTGTGTGAGTTTTTTGAGATGTTGATTCCACGTCAGCCTTTAGTCAAATATGACTTTATGTATTTGGCTTCTGTGACAAATGGGATAACTGTGTTGTTTAGTACTAGTGGTCTCAGTCCTATGAGTACCCGTTTATTTGTGAATGGCACAACTGTTGTTTTTTGTGCGTTAATGGATAATTGTTCCTTTTTGCACCAGTTGTCCACTATGTTTAGAGCTGTTTGAGATCGCTTCGAGACTGTGCCTGCAAATCGCCTCCTGACGATAATCGCTAGGTCGTCTGTTTATCCAAGGCACTGACAATGTTCTGAGTAAGTCGTCCACAAGAACTGACCACAGCATTGGATATAATATTGCTCCTTGTGGGCAGCCCCGTGTAACTTTTGCCTGTATGGTTGCCTTTCCTATAGTGGATACAATGATCCTGTTTTCTAGACAGGTAGTGATCCATTGGCATATTGAAACTGGGACATTTATCTGTTTTAGAGCTTTGGTTATTGACCTGGTTGAGGCGTTGTTGAACGCTCCTTCGATATCTAAGGAAGTGGCTATTGCGATTTCTTTGTCATCTATTGACTTTGAAAGCAGCCTGTTTAGATCATCCAGCGCTAGGTCAGTTTACTTTCCTGGCTGGTATGCATATTGATTGGGATGAAGCGGATTTATTTTTAGTATCTTGTCCCTGATATACCTATCTATTAATCATTCTAGAGTTTTAAGTAGGAAGGAGGATAGGCTTATGGGACAATATGACTTTGTCGTTTGGTCTGTGACCCTGCCTACTTTAGACTACTTTCGCTTTTTGCCAAATTGCTGAGACACATTATTTATCTATGTATTATGCATTCGACAAAAGTTAACTGTCCATGAACACGTTCCAAAACAAGCTTCAACTTGAAAACAATTCATAATGACGCATCACTGGAACGATAAAAGTTTGACTGGGTTAAACTTTTGTCGATCAACTAAAAAGTTATTGAAAGACATATTCTCACAAGAGTTTTTATTTGACTTTTGTTGATCAACTAAAATCGGTCAACTAAAATCGACTCGTAAGAACATGTGCCTTAACTTGAATCAATTGTTGTTAACACATTTCAATTTAATCTAAATTAATGAATAAAAGTCGTAAAAACGTCGTTTTTGGGTGGGGCAGTGGATTCTGGGAGGCAATAGATTGGAATCATCCGGGCGCGGCTCGTGGTCTAGTCTACCTGGAGGCTACTTAATGAAAATATATATTTTTATTAGAATACAATCTAATATTTCTGCTTTAGGTATTCCAATAGAAATATATTATATTTGTATTTCAAAAGTAGCCTGCGTAGCTTCCTCGTAGCCTAGGCCACGAGCCGCGTCTGTAAATATCAAAAACCTTGCCAAAGAAGAAAAAGGTAGGGTGGAGAAATCATTTACGAATGTTTGAAGAGAAATTCGAGGAACTGCTCTCAAAAGTTCAACATCGCATAAAAAAACAAGGTAGAGTGGTTCATCAGGCAATCTCACCATGATTAAAGTTGCAATCATACTACACTATTTATCTATGTACTACACATGAGACAAAAGCTGACTGTCTAGTTCACACGTTTTAAGACAAGCTTCAACTTGAAAACAATTCATGATGACGCATCACTTGAACGATAGAAGTTTGACTGGGTCAACTGAAAAGCTGATCAATTCTATTGAAAGACAGGTTCTTACAACAGTTTTTATTCAACTTTTGTTGATCAACTAAAATTGATCAACTAAAATCGACTAGTGAGAACGCGCGTTATCATAAAGTCGAAGAATCTCTGCGATACGAGGACTGATAAATTTTTTTGTCAACCAGTGATATCTTAATTTATTTTCACTTCATCGCGTGATAGATTTCATTTAGTTTGAGATTGTTTAAAAATAAAAATGGCTCATGTGTATGAAAATAATTTTCGAGGTATTTTAAAAAGGTTGTTTTTTTTAATAGTTGTATAAACAGTTTAAAAAAAAGTACCAACCCTGTAATAGGTATAAAAAAATTTGAAAAAAAAAATGTTAACGTTGTAGTAATTTAAAAAGTACTGTCCAGTGTATTGGTGTCAAAATGATCGGTCTCCTGCATCTATCTTTTAGACTCGTGGTTAAGTCAGTTCTACCACTTAAAACTATCAGTCCATCTTCATTTATTATAGGCAAAAGTGTTCTCAGTCGACTGTGTAGCCTTATAAATACATCTTGAACTTACGTTTTAAGGAATACTTCACGTTTACATTACTTTATCAGACGAAGTTGCGCTTCTGTTATTTTTCTAGGACTAGAGTTTTAGGAAGAGTGGCCTTTGTTTCTAATCCAAAGCAAAAGGTTTTTGGCACATCGTATCACCCACGCTGTTGACCTGACTATCTCTAGCCATTTTGAAAATCTATCGATTTTTGGCACGCTTGCGACAGCTTCATTGTCTATTACGACTGTTAAGATTTTCTTAATCCACGATAAATGACATTTTACAGGTGTTTCAACTCATTTCAAAATATGGCACCAAACAGTGCATAGTACTAAAAATCTTCAAGAGGTCGGTCGAAGGTGATGTACCGCAAATAAAAAGAAAGTAATGACTGCGAACTGTCTGTATCCAATTTTTTTTTTAATAATGGTAATTTATTAATGTTTACTAAGCATACCTTATGTAACAAACGAAATGGAAAATGAAAATAACGAGAAGAAAAATAAATACTACCACATATCTATAATAATAATCACCCATATATTTCATTAAAACAAAGTAAGTGAAGACATTACTAAACCACCCATATATTTCATCAAAACAAAGTAAGTGAGGACATTACTATTTTTCATAATTTTTATAGTGTACAGTAATTAAATAAGGAAAATAATGGTATATATTCTTTCTACAAAATTGTAAATATTGTTTAAATGGATATTGAAAAAATAAGTATTAGGTGGCATTTTAATGTTGTTTACAAAAGAGTAGTTATTACTGCTACTTCTAATAAAATGTACCCACATACACACTTAAAATTTAAATATCTTTATTCGTTTCTTTTCTTTATCTACAAACTGTTATAAAAGCTTATAACAGCAATTATTAAAGTTTTTATTATTTTATTTCTACATCGTCCACTTTTAATTTTGATTACTAAATTAACATTTAACATCAGTACATCACTCATATCTAGGATCAATACCAATAAAAAGCATTACTTAAACTAAACAACAATAAATAATATTGCAAAATTATTAGAGATATAAACAAAATACAATTATATTTGTTCCTAAATATATGTTATGCTCCGTGAACATTAGTACAATAACCTATCAAATTATTAACCAATCATCTAATGGCCAGATCTTGATGTTGTATACACGTTGATGATCAAACATACTTTATCTAGCTAATATTATGGTCAAACGGGTATCTCACCTTCTAACGACCTCTGGTGGATTTTTTGAAACTACGTTGTAATTGGTGCCATATCGTATTTTGTTTTCGTATGGGATTTTGGGGAAGTTGAAACACCTATAGTCATTCATCGTGCCTTAATCTAAGGAATTTCTAGAGAACTAGTGGTTTTGCATTACGTTTTCCAGACAATACGGTGGCCTCGTTCGGTAACTAGGAACAGGGGGTGCGACGTCACAGAATAAAAATTAGGGAAACAGAAAATATTCTGATGCGGTTTGTACATAATTTTTTTTTAATCTCTTATATTATTAATATTTAGTAGTATTCATATTTTTATATTTGGACTATTTTCCAATACTATGAGTAGTTTAACTTTTTGATCGATAAGCCACATAATAGCTAGGAATAATAATTTTCATAAAATTTCAAATTAATTAATTTTATTTTAATTAAAAAGAGAAATATTGTGGTGTAATTGTTTACAAAAAAAAAAATTAGGTACGGCCTCCGAGCCGAACTCGGACCACATTTTGTTCATACCCTGAAATAATTTAAAATTTTAGCATGCCTGGGGCGCGAGACGTAGTGTTGCTGTTTGCAAACACAATTTAAAAAAAAAACAAAAAACATTAGAGGAATGGAACTGAACCTAAACTGAAATTAAAGGCTAATAGTGAGATTTTAGAATATTATTTTACAATAAATATACAACATTATTAAAGATAATTTGGCTTCTTTGGATTTATGAAAGCAAAATGTGGAAAACACCAGGTTCTAGGGCCTGCAATTTTAGTTTCTTTTGCTGATAGCTTGCGAGCGTAACCTTTGTTCAGGTAGCTTTAAGTTTTCTTTGAATAGCGTATCTGGAGATCTATATTCCTATGTAGTTTACTTGTTTCTCTACATTGCTACAATTTTGCTTTCAGATAAAGTCAAGTTATCTGATTTCCATAAGAATCCTATTTCTATCTCTTACTCTTTTAGATATTTTTCTGATGACGTTGGGTGCTCTTTCTTCTGCTTTGGAAGCTTCTGATTGGATAGGCGTTACTCCAAGGACGCCAATAGTAACTAATTGATGGAGGGCATCTTTTGAATTGTCATGGTTACAAAGAAGAAAGGACTAATTATGCTCCATTTTCAGAAGAACTTTCATATATAGTTCAGCTTTAGGTTGTCTAGGTTGCAACAGGCTCATCATTTAGGCCTTCTATTACCTTTCGTGCTATTTTAGTCGTATCAGACTTTGACCTAACAGAATAATTGATGGTCTCCGGTAAAGGAAGGTCTTTCAAATGAAAATACTTAGTCCAATCTTTTTTATTACTTGGAATGAAAATGATAAATTCTTTGTGTTGCGGACGTTCTTTAGGGCAAATGTCTTAGCTCCCTTAGCAACTCCAGATATATTTAAGTTAAAACAGAATATGCATGATAAGTAAACAAATTATTCATCCTTTGCACACATAAAGAATAGGGTTTTCCTTGTAGTCCTACTTGTTTTACGATTTCCTTGTCCATCAGTTTCAGGGATGAATCTTTTTCACAAAGAACCATGGTCTCGATAACAGTGATGTTAATTTCATATGATTTTTCTTTAAGAATCCTTAGCAAAAGGTTTTTTGTATCATCTCAAACAGCTAAGACATTTTCCGGTACATGGGTTACATATTGATTAAATACATGTTGGTCTGGTTCAGGATCGTTGTTGTCAGCATTAAACGGTACTGGTTCTTTATTAAAAAGTTTATTATGGGACCGTTTACAGTTATTAACATCATTGCACCACATTGGTGTCTAGCCTTACATTCATTGGTTTGATGGTTACGCTTTAAACAGGAAAAGCATAATTTTTCCTTTGTGACAATTTCTCTTCTTGTTTCTATATCATCTTTGGACAGTTTTTTAAGGCATGTCTTTAATGTGTTTTAGATTGTATTTGGAAGAGTTTATTTGTGGAATATTTACCATTTTTGGGTATTTTAGGATGTTAGTTTGTTTATAAATATGTTAGCATTGTGTGTCTTATGTAAATAGAGCTATTTTGAATGAAAGATTAAATACTTAACTTACCATTACAGAGTGGAAATAAGAAGATCGATAAGAAGAAGAGGCCTACAACAAAAAATAAAAATATTGTGTATTTTTGGATTTATTTGATAATATTTACAAGAAATAAAGAGGTAAACTGAAAAATGTTGTCTATTTAATTGCCGAAATAAAGACAAGTAAATGAATTCAGGGATAAATTCCAGAATTTAAGGTGAGTTAATAAAGTAAAGAAAAATTGGAACATTGTTTAAAAAAATTCAGCTCCGAGTAGGGCTTGAACCTGCGATCTCCGGGTTGTTGTCCCAACGTCATAACCATTAGACCATCGGAATTTTTTTTTTATTTTTCTTTAGTTTATTTCCATCCCTCAGATTCTGGAATTTATTTCTAAATTCTTTTACTATTTAAGTTTTAGTTCCAATACTATTTTTTGTTAATTATACTTTGTCAATTGCTGTGGATACATATGAGAACTATGTTAATCTAAATTGTGTATACAAGCAAAAAGGATACCTAGGAATACTCAAACAATACCAAAGAATACCCAGAGAAAAGTTGGAATACTGAGAGAATACCTGGGAACCAAATGCTGTGTTCTCAAGTTCATTTACTTTTGTGACTGATGCCCTTTTTAAATCGCCTATTTATTTATTTATTATAACTAGTGTCCTCACCAAAACTTCGGATGGCTTTTTTTCTGACTTTAAATGTTTGGAGTATGTGACAGTGCCTAGGAGGACGAATTCCATACCCTTTTTATACCAGTTGTTCAGAATTGATTGTTATTCAAAGTTAGCTGAATTAAAAAGACATTTATTTTTTTAATACGATTGACAACTCATATTTCAGAAAAAATACAAAAGTCAAGTTCCAAAAAAAACAACAGAACAATATAAACAATCTAAAATTAATAATATTTTGTTTCTGATTGAATTCTATAATAATATTCTCGTGTTCTTTTGAGGGTGGAACGGCATTTACAAAATAAATGTCTTACGGGTGACCATAACGCTGAAGCGCGTATAACAGCAATAAACATCAGTACCCCTCCCTACTTCGTCCCAAGCTACCTCCTCGTCAACATTTTCAGTAGCATCTTGTATACATTTTGAATGACTATGCACAGCGTCATATCCGAAAAATTCAATATTTCAATTTAAAATTTTCCCCATCCGAATTTTTTGTGTGGACATCCGGTATAAATAAAATCATAAGGTTATTCTGTAGTATTTACATTTTAGTTCTTAATAATAATAAAAATAACTTGTTTTATCTCCTCTAGATGCGAGCAACTCTCTGTTGTCTATTATTGTCTATTTTCGTTTAGTGAAATTGTCGTGAATTCAGACAATTTACTTTTAACGACCTAAATTATTGACGATATTTCATATTGAAGCGTAAAAATTATGGAATAGAAAATGCACATTCATTGACGGTCGTTGATTCTTTATGGATAAGAGATTTAAAGCTCATTGTATATCTTATTGCTTAACCAACTAGTAGAAAGACAATAATTATTCTGTGCACATTTTCAAATGCTTGATTTTTCAATCATTTTTTCTGTGAAATAAAAGCTTTTGCTTGTCTAATTCATAATAATTCTTTTCAGATATTGGTATTCATATTTATACAGTGGCTGCTTGTGACTCAGTTTACAGGGGGAGATCTAATTTAGAACACTTTTTATTAATCAGTATACATAGTGGAACATTCTTCTAATGTTACAGGAAGCGTTAGTCTAATCAACAAGTTCAAAAGCGTGTTTTTGGGACATACTATTACGAAAATTATGTTCAATAGCTCATTCGATTCGGAATAATGTCTGGATCAATGTGTGAAGAAAAGTTCTGCAGTGCATAAAAAATTGCAAAAGTTATAAACAATTAAACACCTCAAAAACATGGTGTTTGGTTTTTCATATAGTTTGTAAACTATAAATATTTTTGGATTTTTAAAAAAAGATCCTTAAAGAGGAGGAAATTTGCTATAAATAAGTTCCGACTCCCGGAACTGTACCTCCATTATTTATAATTTTATTTTAACGCTCAAAGTAGCCTTCCGCGCGCCATTTTTAGGTTGCGCTCACGGCGTCAAAACCGAGTACGTTACATAAAATAATTTTTTTAAGTTAATAAAATTAAATTCAAAAATTTAACAAAATTACGGTGTATTCTTAACACTTAGAAGAATTCATTACCGTTGGAATTTTTCATAAAAATTAAATTTCCAACAAAGTAGGTTATTGTTAATTAACAAAATTTTTAGAATTTCTCTCATCATTACAAATTGATAAAAATATTAAATAACCGTAAATTTTTTTTTCAATTTATTATAATATTAATGTTTTAATGTCGAGAAAAGACATTTATTAATAAAAAAAAAAATTGTTTATAAATTTTTTTATAAAACAAATTTTTTTTAAATTTTTTATACAACTTTCTAGACAATTGCCAATTATGATTTAAAAAATTTTTTTTTTCTTAATAATAACTTTTAATTGTTTATAATCGTTTTTTTAATATATCTATTGTTTAAATTATTAGTTAAGAAATGTGTTTTTTTTTTTAATCATAATTGACAGTCCTCTACAAAGTGACAGCAAAAAAAAGTTTTTATTAATAAATCCATTGTTTAAGTTAACAATTTGTTATAAACAAATTCCCAACTTTGGTTTATTTTTTTCCTGAAAGAAATAAAAATTCCAAAAACGACTTAGTGCATTAAAATTACGGAAAAAAATTTATTCCATTTTTTATTAAACTTTGAAAATAAACGTACTATCAAAGTTGCAGCAGCTGATCCATTTGTTGACTTAAAAGTTAAAACTTTTAAACTATTGGGGATACGACAATAAACATTCAAGTCATTTTTGTAGGCAATGAAATTATCTCTCAGATAAGTTATTTGTCAATTCCGTACCTATTGTCAATTTGTTGTTTTTTATATTTGTTTATAAAAATTGATTTTTTTTAAGTTTAATAAAAAATGGAATAAAATTTTTTTGGAATATTTATTTCTTTCAGGAAAAAATAAACCAAAGTTGGGAATTTGTTTATAACAAATTGTTAACTTAATAAACAATAGAATTATTAATAAAAATTTTTTTTTGCTGTCACTTTGTAGAGGACTGTCAATTACGATTTTTTAAAAAAACACATTTCTTAACTAATAATTTAAATAATAGATATATTAAAAAAACGATTATAAACAATTAAAAGTTATTATTAAGAAAATTTTTTTTTTTAAAAATGATAATTGGCAATTGTCTAGAAAGTTGTAAAAAAAATTTCAATAAAATTGAAATACACAATTTGTTTATAAAAAATTTATAAACAAATGGAGAAAAAACATTTTTTTTTTTTAATTAATAAATGTCTTTTCTCGACATTAAAACAGTTATATTATAATAAATTGAAAAAAAAAATTTTTTATGGCACCACTGTGACTTTTCTGTTTTTGTAAATTTATTATAAACAAAGTATTAACATTTTTTAAACTTTTATGAAGCTATTTTGTTTTATATGTATATAAAAAGAGCTCCACGAAGCAAAAAAAAATTACGGTAATTATTTAATATTTTTATCAATTTGTAATGATGAGGGAAATTCTAAAAATTTTGTTAATTAACAATAACCTACTTTGTTGGAAAATTAATTTTTATGAAAAATTTCAACGGGAATAAATTCTTCTAAGTGTTTAGAATACAGCGTAGTTTTATAAAATTTTTGAATTTAATTTTATTAACTTAAAAAAATTATTTTATGTAACATACTCGGTTTCGACGTCGTGCGGACAACCTAAAAATGAAGCGCGGAAGGTTACTTTGAGCGTTAAATTAAAATTATAAATAATGGAGGTACAGTTGCGGGATTTGAAACTTATTTATAGCAAATTTTCTCCTCTTTAAGGATCTTTTTTTAAAAATCCAAAATGATTAATAGTTTACAAACTATAAGCGAAAAACCAAACACCATGTTTTTGAGGTGTTTAATTGTTTATAACTTTTGCAATTTTTTATGAACTGCAAAATTTTTCCTCACACATTGATCTAGACATTATTCTGAATCGAATAAGCTATTGAACATAATTTTAAATTTATACTCGTTTGGCAGACTGATGTCGTTTAGTTAGTCGTTCTATATTGCAAAAAGTGGATATATTGTATTTACACGTGGACGTAGAAAATAAATTAATCAATGAATAATATATGTTATAATCGAAACAAACAATTAATCTTCGAACTAGAACTTGAAATCTAATATCTGAATATACAGATGCTATCTCATTTATGATATTAAAAGTACACGCATGTTTATACACATTTTTGAGTTATTATTCAATAACATCTTATTTGATTTTAATTTAAAACGAATTTAAAGTAAAAGTATTTTGTTTTTGCATTATTTAAGAATTATTATTGTGTTGCGCAAGGGTAATATAAAAGTTGTACAATTTTTTATAACTACATATGAATGGTTTTCTTTATTTTAAACAGGCAACACACGATAAGAGGAATCAAGACGAACAGAAGTGATTATTTTGGAATAGATGGTGAAAGTTCAGTCCAGAGAATGCTAAAACATCAGTGAAAACCCTTATAACTAGGTGCTTGACTATATTGGTAATAAGCCTAAGATGGTTCTAGTTAGGCATATACTTGTTTACAACCAAATAAACAATGTTGAGTATTTTCTTAGATATAGATGTGTATGACAAGACCACCTTTTCTTAATCAATACATTTAGTAACTAACAGGAATGGTCCACAGATAGTTAGTGAATAGATACATAACATGTTCTTAAGAGGAAAATTTACATTACAAACTGAAAGACCTGCGGGGCAACGGTAGTTTAGTAGGTATAAAAATTACAACTTAAGGGTGGAGCCTAAATACTACAAAATTACTTCCGAGACTAAACAAAATCCGGATTCATTCATAATTTTAACAATTGCCTGTAGATACGAGGGATACGTATTCCAAACTCTAACGCGCGAAATTAAGAAAAAAGAACCGAAAACACCTAACACGGCTGCCGAGTGAGTCAGAGTTACCTAAATTAGGG